ATTATCTGTAAGTGAGTAGCTCATAATTCATAGCCTATTTTATATTTTCTGAAAATATCCCTGACCTGTGGTTATTGATGTATCATTAATACTTAAAGCAATTTTGAAATATTATAGTCAGTAAGCTGTGGATTTATAGCTGCATTTGTTACCTTGATTTTTGCAATAGGTACATATTTAATAAGGAAAAGAGGTAAAGAAAACATGTGTATGTGTCTTGTCCTTATAGCATAGAAATGGAAGTAAGGCTATAATTAAAGTTTCCAAATTAAAAACAAAGTGATTATTCAAATGGTATGTGCAAAAATACTATTTACATTACTATGAATAATTGTTAATACTATGGATCATACTTCTTTTTTTTTCTTTTTATTGGTACTGGGGATTGAACCCAGTAAAGCTTTACTAGTGAGCTAATCCCCAGCCCTTTTTATTCTTTCTTTTGAGACAGGGTCTCGCTAAGTTGCTGAGGCTGGCCTCAAACTTGTGATCCTCCTGCCTCAGCCACCCAAGTCTCTGGGATTATAGGCATGTATCACCAAGCTTAGCTATGTGTTATACATTTTGATGATAAATTTATGTCTTCCTAGTCTTTATTAGTAAAATGATGTTTTTCTTTTATTATCTGTAAGGGTCTGAATTTTACCTTTTAAATATAGTTCAATATGTTTTTTATGTTAGCTGTATGCACATGTTGTCACTCAAAAAATGGCATGTTTTGAGATCAGGGAGAAGATCTCACTAATAATTTCTTAATAAAATACTTTTTTGAACATGACCTATAATAAAAAAACTTTGGGAGCTTTGCTTTACTTATCCAACTACATGTGTGTTTACGTGTATGCGTGCACATGCACACGTGTGTGTTTGGTTTTCATTACAATTCAGCATGCTTCTGGGAGTATATCTCCTATGAATGTCATTCATCATCTGTCACAGCAAAAGAAAAGTTAGAAACCTCTGCTCGAGGCTATTTTATACACATCTGTAGGTTTAACTCTCTCTCTCATGTGTTAATGGCTCTTGAGTCTATAGCATCATCCATGATCCTCTCTCTGGAGCTGCCGACTCATTTACTAAGCTACCTACTAGGCATCAGTATGTGGACATCTTACAGATTTCCCAAACACAGAATTTCTGAAATTGAACCCATTTTTCAATCTCATTCCTCCTCCTGGTTGGATTTGCTTCTAGTATTGTGCATTTTTGTTGATAGCATCATCATTCATCCACTCTGTTAAATTCATTAAAAATAATGTTCAGTGTTTCAGAGGCCAGTAGTCCAGTCCTGTTTATCTACTAAATATCCCTGAAGTTGTCTTCTCTTTTCTCATTTTCTTCAGCCTATCATAGCCGCTCATCATTTCCTTTTGGTGTCACTTCATAGCCCAGTGGCTCTCAAATTTCAGTGTGTATCGCAATTATTAAAACATAACGAGTTAGATTCCCATCTCCAGAATTCTAATTCAGTAAGTCTAGGGATAGTTCCAAGAAATTGAATGTCTAACCAGGTGTTTTTCTGAGAAAGTCTTTTATTTCTCTTTTCCAGAGAAGAAAATACTCTGTATGATATTATAATGGTAGACATGTGTCATTAGGCATTTGTCCAAATTTGTAGAATATGTAATATCAAAAGTGACCTAGTGTAAAACCATGGACTTTGGGTGATAATCATGTGTCAATATTGATTCATTAGTTATAGCAAATATACCGCTGTCGTGCAGAATTTTGACAATAGGGAAGGCTGTTCCTATGTTAGGGCAGGGTAGTATGTATGGTAAATAGCTGTACCTTCTGTTCAATTTTGCTGTGACCCTAAACTGCCCTAAAAATAAGTCTGTATTTTTAAACCATATTAT